CCTTCACTGGCTCAGACGGTATCCCCACTACCGAGACCATCTACTATGTCGAGACCCCAGTTGTTGGAATCAGTTCCACGACCATTACCGGCTGGACTGGATCTGTTACATCGACTTACTCAACCGACGTGACCACTTTCACTGGATCTGATGGTATCCCCACTACCGAGACCATTTACTATGTCGAGACTCCCGTTGTTGGAATCGAATCCACCACCACTACCGGCTGGACTGGATCTGTCACTTCAACATACTCCACCGAATTGACCACCTTCACTGGCTCAGACGGTATCCCCACTACCGAGACCATTTACTATGTCGAGACTCCCGTTGTTGGAATCGAATCCACCACCACTACCGGCTGGACTGGATCTGTCACTTCGACATACTCCACCGAATTGACCACCTTCACTGGATCTGATGGTATTGCAACAACCGAGACCATCTACTATGTCGAGACCCCAGTGGTCGGTATCGAGTCGACCACCACTACCGGCTGGACTGGATCTGTCACTTCGACATACTCCACCGAATTGACCACCTTCACTGGCTCAGACGGTATCCCCACTACCGAGACCATCTTTTATGTGGAGACCCCAGTTGTGAGTAGCGTCTTCACTGCAAGTACTGATAGCATTTCTTTGATTAGCACGACCACAGCGGAACCAGGTCAATACACCAGTACATTTTCTTCTGCTGCATCTTTGTCAACATTCGAGTCCTCGAGTTACACCACCACACCAAACCGGCCATACTTTGGCAATTCGTCAACTGTTGTACCCCCAAGATCTTCATCTACCAGAGAGTCCTCTTTGTTCACCTCAGCGAAAACAACAGAATCCGTATCACATTCCTCTGTGTCTTCATTGATGTCCACGTCTAAACATGCCACCACGAAGATACATCCTAGCTCAAGCGCATCGGAAAGCAAATCCTCATTTAAGGTCTCAAGTGGATTCCTGTCCTCAAGCCTAGTTTCTCAAGCACCTTCAAGCTCTTTTGGATCTGTGATATATTCCACATCCTCCGGTCCTGCCCTCAGCACTGCAATGCTAAGCTCTTCAACAACGTCTCAAGAAAAGGTTACCATAGGTACTAGCAGCAGGAGCACCGAAACTCGGCAGTCTGCGACTCACTCTTCTGTTACTGCCTCGACCCCAGAGTCGTCGTCTGTTAGTGCCTCGACCCCAGAGTCGTCGTCTGTTACTGCCTCGACCCCAGAGTCGTCGTCTGTTAGTGCCTCGACCCCAGAGTCGTCGTCTGTTAGTGCCTCGACCCCAGAGTCGTCGTCTGTTACTGCCTCGACCCCAGAGTCGTCGTCTATTACTGCCTCGACCCCAGAGTCGTCGTCTATTACTGCCTCGACCCCAGAGTCGTCGTCTATTACTGCCTCGACCCCAGAGTCGTCGTCTATTACTGCCTCGACCCCAGAGTCGTCGTCTATTACTGCCTCGACCCCAGAGTCGTCGCCTGTCAAGTCTGCCACCTCCTCATCCACTGTTGTTCCGACACCAGAGGCGTCATCTGCGCAATTATTGTCATCGAGCTCGAGCTACCTTTCTACCTCTCCAGGGCCAGCCTCTTCCGTTACTAAACTATCTAGTGACGGCGGCTTCTCCACCGTCACAGAAGAAGTCACCCAGTCTCCAACCTTCTCAGCTTCGAGCTACGTATCGACATTTTCAGATTCAGTCTCATCCCCATCCACTGCTTCTGCCACCGTTGCCGACTCCACCTCCATGAATGAATACCCTAGCAGCACAAAAGTGACGTTCACCACTCAAACGACCCCTGCTAAAACTTCCGAGGACGTGACAAAGATAGCAAGCACTGTGCAGGCTTCGAATAGCACATCCATTGACAACGCGTCGACAACCAGCATCCAATTCTCTACGACAAACCTATTTTTGTCACCCACCTTGGCCTCCTTTGACACATCCTCTCCAATGACGGAGCCAACTGTCGCTAAGACTAGTTTCGCAAGTGTTTTCAGCCAAACCACATCAGCGGTTGCCGTAACTGCCAGCGGAAAGGACGGAGAGAGCTCTAAAGTATCGGAAGCTTCAGAGACGATCAATGTCTCTGCCACGCCAATTAAACCAACCTCTACCGAAAGTGCTTTCACGAGTATATCTACGAAGCACTCGACCACTACTGTTCGACCATTTAGCAAAGTCCAGTCTAGCCAAGAACTTGAAGTGACTTCATCCACCTCCGCCACAGATCAGCTTGCTACCACTACCAGTAGCTCGAAATCGCAAGCGACGGAAGTTACAAGCATGTCGCAAACATCTGGAACGCTAACAAGCGGCAACAGCCCAGTAAGCTCATCCTTTGCGACTTCTCATAAGCCACAGTCTTCAACTATAAGTGTTGCTACTTATGAAGGGAGCGCTAAGAAACTTAAGTTAGGTCTGCTCTTCGCTCTTCCATTAGCTTTGATTTGATAGATACCCACGAAGAGGGAAGTTACGGGCCTACTACGTGCCAAGACCTAAAGCTTAAGGCAAAGTGTAATATATCTAAAAGTAAATTAGTCACAATGAATTAACGCGAAGTTTTCTTTTGAAATAACCAACTGCGTCTTATGTGTGTATACATGGTTACAGCCAAATACTTGAATAACCTATGATACTTAAATAATGTACTTTTAACGATGTCAACAATAGGGAAAACGTTGTTGTTGGTTCGGAAATTGTTAATGAAATAAATTTGTTATTGACGATAGCTGGGCTCCTAAACCATTTCAGATGGTCACATACTAGAAACTCAGTTGGCTGCGGATAAATTAGTTCTAAATGTTAAACTGATTATAGCCAAAGTGTCTTATATTCCCACAATAGAAGCAAAACAAAAGATAATGCTGAATAGAACTAGGCGTATTTGGTCATCTACTTACGGCGCCCTATGACCCTGTACGCAAAGAACCGACAACATCAAAGGTCGAAATTGATGCTTTGAACGATATTTTCTAGCAGGTCTGCACCATTCAACTGCGAAGAAACCGAAGCAACGTACTGAGAACTTTATTTTACATGTCATATAAGGTCAAACGCCTTGATGAATACATTCAAAAGCTCAAGCAACTCATTTGATTGACTAAGTAAAAGCTTGACTCGATGTGTTAACATGAACACATGAAATCTTTCGATAAGGTTGAATATGAATGTTCAAGTTGGTGAGCATCACGATCGAGATTTAAAGACAAATATATACACAGCAAAGGGTTTTGTCGGCGTCGTTTTAGCTCAGATACAGATTAAATGAGGTTGCACAAACCACGAGCAAGTTCGTGCTATTATATAAGTTGCTCAATCCTAGAAATCTTCGGAAGAAAATGTCAAATGTTACACTGGGACTGGCTTGATGAATGCTTGTGAATTTCAGGACATCGGTTTAAAAATGAAAAATTGGCGATTCTGTTCTGACGCCTGTCACAGTAAAGTCACAAGTCGCATAAGTAGCCAAAACAGAAGAACCAGGGTAAACCAGAGATCTCGCTTAGTTATCGAAACACCCGCCGGTCTTGACTTTGTTGCCCCATAGATCGGCCAAGAAATACAAGTAGTTGTCGACGTTTCTCACGGCGTAGGTCGCATTGTTCTCTGCCAAAGCTAGCGTTTCTTCGAGATCTTCGGAGAACTCAGAGATAAACTCGTCTTGGCTGATAGAAGGGACATGGAAATAACGATGTATCATGTCAATGCCGTAATATTTTTTAGGTCCGAATTGCGTGAGGTTGCCCCTGTTGCACATCTCCGTGAGCGGCACGCGCGAGTCGTAAAAGTAGTCGCAAATGACAGTCTCGTAAGGGTGGCTTTCGCGATGGTGGCCAGCGTAGTAGTTTTGGTATTTTTTGCACAAACCGTCGGCATCGTCGCAACGAAGCAGAAGCGACGTTTTGGATACATTGGCCAGACCTTCAATCACTCCCAAAACCTCATACAGCTTGCCCTCGCCGAACCAGCGCTTGTACACCTCCGAGTCCACCACGCTGTCGTTGGTCGAGAGCACGTCTTTGGCGTACTTAGTGACTTCTGTGGTGTCAGCAAATGCCTGGGTGATAAACTCGACGTCCGTGCTGTTGCAGGTGGAATGAATTCTTGGGAATTCAGCGTCTGCCCACTCGCCAGTGGCTACTGTTTTGTAAGTTTTGGGGCCCTTTTTCACCGCTGTAGCATCTTTATGACCGATGATTGCCAACACCAGCGCTGCGACCAAAGTCCCTATGCAGATCAAAGCGGACAGGAAGATAACGTTGTTGCGTCTAAATTTTTTACTCTTGACGTCCATGGTAAATTTCAGAGGATTTCTTCTTCTTCTTCTTCTTCTTCTTCTTCTTCTTCTTCTTCTTGCCGTAATGATCCTTACAAGAAAGTAGACTCATCTCATCCATAAAGGCCCCCGTTGTCAAAATTTTCCTTCGCCATAAATACCTGGGTCGTCCTCGACCGGGGTGTCAATATTCTTACCACATAAGTAACCTTCAGGGTCCTCATCTACATAATGTCTGTTTCCCACACAGACGCTTTACCAGGATCTTAAAATTTGCGAGTTTACTACTCGTTTTTCTGGCATGAGTCGTTTTTTTCAAATATCAATTAGTAGGTGCGGCGCAGGGTCTTTTTTCCAGAATGGCGCAGGGACCTCAGTGCAGAGAGTGAAAAACATAAAAAAATGGTAGGCCACCACGCCTATAGTGGAACTCGAGAAACAGGGCCCTGCAGGTACTTACAGGTTAAGGGACGAGGGTGCAGAGGGTAGAGTTACCGTGGTGGGTGGGGGGATAGTCAACGAAAGGAACGGGCTGAAAATGGGTAAGAAATGTGAACGTTGGTGGATATGATAGACTTGAGGAGGTGATGCTACTAGACGTCTCGAGTTGTTTGTGTGATCGGAGTGGAGTGCGAGTGGACGTAAATTTGTGGCTTTCATTTACAAGACACGAAGAGACAGGCATCTTTAATCCATTGTTAAAATTATTAAGATCTCATTTCCATCATATAAGAATTATGAAAGTAATAATATGAATTGTTTGGGTTGAGAGCCTCGATGTCTTCTCTGTTTGGGGTCGTCCCCTTTCATTGCATCGTCGGATACAGTGTCTTGAAACTTAGCTTCAATCTGTACGTGCGATGGTCGATCGCTGTCGCTACTGGAAAAGATCGATTAATCTCACCTATCAAAGGTGACAGGGATCTGAAGCGTCGTGGACGGCGTGCATATTCAAATTCGAATATCCGCAGGAACATCCGCAATGAACTCTCTGGTCATTTTATTTTTTCCTCTCTCAGTCATTTTTCTGCCCGACTATACGTTTGAGAATCCGAGCTTGATGGTGCCCATTTCTGTTCGCGATACAATTTCGTGATCAGCGAAAACATAAGGTTGACCAAAACTTGGTCGGCCCAGGAATTGAGAACGATGACATTCATACTTATGCCACGTCATAATCGTCAGAAGTCTCCTCTAGTTCAAGAAACAGATTGCAATGTCAGGCACTATTCGGTTCAGGGCTCCAATCAACTCCTTCAAGAATTTTTATTTCTTCGATTTTGGTTGTCCAACTAAATTCCACGCCTAGGAGCCATGTTCCCTTTCTCGCCCACCACAGATTGGACCATTAGCGTACCCTCTTCACTTCTCCATTCAAAGCACCCTCCAAAGATAACGCGGTGCGAGTACCCCCTCTTGTGAAGAGCCTTTGAACTGTGTTTTTACAGGCTCTTCAAACGCATCAGGCATCTTGCATAAGTCTCTCTATGCTTTGACTCTTACATTTAGTAGAAAGGGCCAATTCAACTTCTTCCAGCCATTTACCGCTGCGATGTCAAGTGTCTCAGCGCGCGCTGCCGCGTGCTATCTCCAAGCCCATCAAGCCATCAAGTACATGGCTCCTTAAGGATTATGCTCTCGTCGTTAATATCATAGAGATAAAAATAATATGACGGTTTTCCTGTGCTTGTGGCGAAATGTATGTTTGACGCGTCTCCAAATAACACAGTGCTCTTGTAACCCAGTTTTGCTGCATGTTGCCCGACGATGACTTCGACTATCACCACGAGCTATGCGCATCAGAAACTTTCCAAATATTCTATTCAAGCGGCTCCCCAGCCATTCTTGCATGACCTGATCATCGAGTGGTAATGTGCTTTAGAGTTAACCATATACGCGTGCGCGTTGCCATCTATCGCCACCTCATAAACGGCACTCTGCCGTCACGGTGTGATCAGTTTCTCATACGATTCAGACGCTGATCCTTGCCAATACCTAATGACTATCAAAACATCTCGAGCTTTTCGTTAATAGCGGACGAGGTACTAGCGCAAGGTGCCCTTCCGATTATGACAACTGCAGAAGTCAATGATTTACATACCCACTCAACCAATAACGTCACAGTGTTATGTTCGCCTGTCGGTATCAAGAAGCAGTTGTGTGCATCTGTTTTTTGCCGGTAATCTTGGTAGAAAAGTAATGCGTTTATGATTTCTTAGTTCACAGTACCACTTGACAGACGGGTTTATTAGCAACCCTTCACTCTTTGTGGACTTTCCTGGTATTATGTGGGAAATGATCCACAACGCCTATGCCATTGGGATCATGACGGTGGGACGCATACTACAAAAACGGATATTGTAGAATGAAGAGACACAAATTGGTTGAGTCTGACTTCGAGCTTGTAGTAAACATTGTCGGAAAGAATACACCAAAATCTAGTAGAGCAGCAGTGCCTACAAAGCACTGCTTCATCTATTCAAAAAGCCATTCTTTGGACTCAATACAAAATAGTGCCATTGCCACATGCTGCTCTGCAAAGTCATCAAAGGCTGCTTATGAAAAAAAAGGGTTGGTGGGCAGTAGCTTGATAGTTCTGACTTCAAGTCAAGGAGAAACAATCCTTTCAATCCTGTGACGTACGATAGTGATATATTCATCTTTTGAAAGTGCGGACGATTCCTTGCACATTAGTTTGCATAAAAGTTACAGAGGGTTAAAAGGATGCCCGCTGTTAGGTAACAGAATGCCACCAGAAGCTCCTAACCTGTAAAAAATCAACGACACCAGCAGAAATATTGGCCGAAAAACTAGACTACTCAATAATTTTATACCCCTGCTATCAAACACATGAGAATCAAGCAGTAGGCATCATGTTTGACTCCGCTACGAAGGGAATACGACGTTGCCATTAACAAATAAGAACAGTACAGAAATAAGCGCCCAACAGAGTCGTGTCATTTGCTATTTCCACAGCGCTCGAGAAGAACACATTAATGCCCTCCATTCTACTTCTTGATCAACTTGACTAACGAAAGTAGATTAATGGTTCCGCGATTAACTTTTTTCATCATGCATCTTCTCGTGACGAAAAATAATACCGGAACAAAAATTGACAAAAGAGCTGTAAGGGGAGCTCCGTAAACTTACTTCTCGCGAATTGCTGTTCTGGCGCTGGCGATTAAGCGAAACCTGTATCGTAGCCTTGAATAATTGCATCGCAAGAACTTTAAATGAAGGAGATAATCTACTATGCGTCTAAAAATGCAGCTGTGATGGGCCCTGGCTCGAGAAAAATATTGAAGTAAATATAGCACAAGCGCGCTTCACAATGCAAATGTACAATAAGCCACCGCTGCAGCTAGTCACTTCTATGCTCCCAGTTCTCTCGAGAGACTATTTCGAGCAGCTCCTGCGAAAAGCAGCTATCTTTTCAAGCTGACACTCGACTCATACAACGCCCACCATCTTTCGAAAGCGCCAGTCTGTCACATGCTACCATTACATAGCACCAAGAACAAGCTGAATCGCAGGATGGATGTGGGTACGAGAAGCCCTGAATTACGGGAGCGAATTCCGCATATTTGTTATACAAACTTGTGGACCAGAAAGCTATTAACTTTGGGTGCTGTGATTAATCACCAAATTACAATTGTTCTGGCATCTCAAAATGCCCATGCGTTTTCGACAGCGGATCCGTGGGAGAGCATTTTGAGCTCCGGAAGAATTGAAGGTTACTCACGGAACTCACTCGCGGGAAATTAGGCGCAGAGAACTTTCATGTAAACAAAATCGACATTAAGGTAAATAAATACTTACTCGTTCAAATTCAGGGTCGTGGCATTTGCTGCCCTACTAGGTTTCACTAAGGCGTCAATAATTCATTCCCCATCTACTAGGGTGCACATTCTTGCCAAGTGACTAGTGGATTTTTTTTCATCTTGACAAGAAAATTCCCTAGCATTTTTTGTTTACTGTATTGGCGATGCCCTTGACGACAAGATGTCGGTTAGCCAAAGCGGTCTTGGGCTAGCCAAGATTGATTCCACATGCTCTTTGTAGGCCACACGTGGAGCGGAGTTTAAAATAGTGATCAATGTGTTTTTGATGCCATCGTTATTAAATAATGACTGGCATGTGTGTATTAAACCATTTCTTGACGACAGTCCCACCGGGTGAGCATGGCTAAAAATATAGTATATAAAGTCCTGAACCGGTTTGAAAGTGGGAAGTTCAGTTCTTTTGGTGTATCTTAGTATACCACTCGCTTCCGCTCCAAAGCATGTACTCTCTACCATTCATTCTCTTGGCCGCAGCCTTGGCAAAAGCAGCTCCCACTTCAACTGAACAATACCAGGAAACTATCAGCACTGCCGATGTTTCAAAAATTGGCACCCAAGAAGACGTTTTTCCGTACTTGGCAGGAGCTGCTCCACATTTTGACTACCCGCTAAGCTACGGTATTCCTAAAGATGTTCCCGAACAGTGTACTCTGCAGCAGGTGCAATTGTTCGCCAGACACGGAGAGAGATACCCAACCAAAAAAGTTGGCTCCAAGATCCTCGAAACCTACTACAAAATGACGAATTATTCCTCAGGCCTGTCCGGTTCATTGAGCTTTATAGACGACGACTACGAGTTCTTCTTGCCAGACTCCAAAAACTTCGAAGAGCTCACGACCTGGAAAAATACTCTAGACCCCATCAACCCTTATACCGGAGAATGGGATGCGCAAAAGCATGCCCGGGAGTTTATGCACCAGTATGGTGAGCTACTAGAAAACACGACCTCTCTACCGATTTTCACTTCCAACTCCAAGAGAGTCCACGACACTGCCAAATACTTTGGTGCCGCTTTGGGCGACAAGTTCAATGTCAGCCTTCAGATTATTGACGAGGACCCCTCCAGCGGTGCTAACACCCTAACGCCAATCAAATCATGCACTGTTTACAACGAAAGCGAGAAGGCTGATGTTTATTCCAAATTCAGCAGCAAATACTTGGCCAACATCGCTGACAGACTGAACAGTGAAAACAAGGGTTTGAACATGACCAAGTCCGACGCTACTCATCTGTTTTCCTGGTGCGCTTTCGAAATCAACGTAAAGGGCTACAGTAACATGTGTGACGTCTTCACTCCAGAGGAATTGGCCTATTATGCCTACAACGACGACATGACCAGCTACTACTACCACGGCCCAGGCAATTCTTTGGGCCCCACTGTTGGTGGTGTGAATTTCAACGCCTCCTTGCAGTTGTTGAAACAACATGATCAACTTGACAATAAGGTTTGGTTGAGTTTCACTCACGACACCAATATCGTTAACTATCTTGGTGCCATTGGTATTTTCGACCCTGGTCACGCAATGCCCGTCGACTATGTCCCCATCAAGGAACACATCTACCACAAGTCCTGGATGGTTCCCCAGGGTGCTAGAATTTACACTCAAGTGTATCAGTGTTCGAACCAATCGTACGTTAGATACGTGGCTAACGATGGTGTGATTCCTATCGAGAAATGTTCTTCTGGTCCAGGTTTCTCCTGCGAGTTGAACAACTTTGTCGATTACGCTGAATCTAGATTGAATGCAACCAATTACGTTTCTGATTGTAAAATTAACACCACAAGCAACCAGACCTCGTTGACATTCTACTGGGACTACGAGCACACCACTTACAATGCCAGCTTGATCAAAAAATGACTTATTATCAACCAAGGTAGCGTACCGTTAATTCCTCTATGAACTCAAGTGTTGGAAAATACTCACCACAAGAATGTATATGATGAACTGAACTTTTCTTATTACTTTACAATAATTGTACTACACCAGACTTTCTTGAAAAAAGATATATTGCTGATTTGAAATTGCTGACTGTCTTCAACACGCAGCAGGCGGGGCCACTATATCGTAATGTGAATCAAGGTTCAGTAGCTCTCTCGAGACAACCACACAATTTTTTCATAATACAATACGCGAGGCCGAAAGACAGGAATGATCATGATTTGTTTTGCCGATGAGTTTTGCGGGAAGGCAGTCCAAATCAAAGTGTGAACGCCTTACTGACTTACACCGCATCGAATGCTGCCTACAGCCATCGCTTCACTTATACTCCAACAGTGGATTGGAGAATTTGCTCCACACGGCAACCATATCGCAAGTGAAACCTTGAGAAGTAGTTTAAATCCTCTCTGTCATAACAATTTTTCCAGGTACAACACGACGCGGCCACTAAAGCAGTTCAAATTACGAATATGCCTTTCATTGCACTAATTTTAAAAGTGGGGAAACTTTAACGGCTTCAGTAGGCCCTCACCTTCAGAGCAAAGAAAGGACGCAGCTTAAAATAATGATGGTGTGGTGAAACTTCACTAGGGCTTCTTTTATCTCGAGTATCACAGAGGAAGAGTTTATAATAGAGGTGCTCAAGGTGCAATCACTACACTATGGACTCCTCGAAGTCATTAGCCGACTTTGAACTGGGACTTATAGCGCTTTTTAGAGAATGACTAGTGATCAGCAATGGTGGGCGCAATGGAGCCCTGATGAGGTTTCTATAGGTAATAAGTCGGTTTCAGATACGTGGAAAATTTGTACCATTCAGGGAGTTTATTTTGGTGCCGAGAAGCCTTTTTCTGCTCAAGGCGCTCGAATTTCTTCCATCTTTGTCATATTTTTTGTCTCGACCATTTGTACTCTATTTCCAGTGACAGCGGCTAGGTTCAGGGGATCGAAAGTTCTTAACCTGACGTATCTGTTTGCCCGCTCCTTTGGCACTGGCGTCATCATTGCAACAGCTTTCATCCATTTATTGGACCCTGCATACAGTTCGATTGGCTCTGTGAGCTGTGTAGGGCTAACAGGCCATTGGGCAGACTATCCATGGTGTCCTGCAATCGTTTTAGTGACAGTTTTTGTGACTTTCTTTATTGACTTGGCCAGTGACGTGTATGTTAACCGCAGGTTCGGTAAGCACCATGGCGAAAGTAGTGTCACTGCTAAGATAATAAAAGATGATCAGAAGAACTCACAAGGGCAAGAAAGCTCAAGTCCGAGTCGTCATTTTTTACCCAACTTAGGAGGTAATGACGAGGGAAATGAAAATCTCTCCGATACTTTGTCAAGTACTTGCTCTGAGCTTACAGCTCAACCATTTGAAAAACAAATTGGAGCCTTTTTAACGCTCGAGCTAGGAGTGATTTTCCATTCAGTGGTGATTGGTCTCAATCTTGGATCAACAACGGACAACTTTTATTCTCTTTACATTGTGCTCGTATTTCATCAATCTTTTGAAGGATTGGGCATTGGAGCACGGTTGTCCGCAATAAAATTTCCCGGAAATAGAAGATGGTGGCCCTATGCACTCTGTGTTGCATACGGATTATCCACTCCAATATCAATCGCGATTGGTTTGGGCGTAAGAAATGTCTACAACGGTAACTCTTTCACTGTTCACATTGTTTCCGGAACATTGGACGCTGTCTCTACAGGAGTTCTGATTTATACGGGCCTTGTTGAGCTTTTGGCTCGTGATTATATCTTCAATAGAGAGAGAACGGATAATGTTTTGGCACTTATGTTCATGTTAAGCTCAACAGTTTTGGGTGCTGCACTCATGGCGTTGTTGGGTAAATGGGCCTGACCTTGGTTGTCAAAGCCAGATAATATTTATTCAATCCACGAACAAATTCAAAGCGTTAACTTCTCTGACCACCTAAAGATCTGAAACGATTTGTTCGAACATCGTGAGATATTGAAATCCAGAAATCTCTTGGTCAACCATTTCAGTGCGTGCCACCAAAGGTGAAAGCATCGGAGAGTGATCAGCCAGCTGTAAGATTGATTTCGGAGGGGGTCGTGATAGAAGTTCCCTTCTGAAAGACGCCGCTATGAATGTAACATATTGATGAACTTGCAATCAAAGAGAACCACATGGCATGTTTGACGCATGTATATTAATAACCGCAGCTATCTACTCACCATAATGAGTACATAGAACTCGAGAACAGGTTCATGAAAGCTGCACATTCCTGTAGTTGAGTCGCTGTTTGTCCTTTGCTTGAAGTAGTAGCTGTTTCCAGTCACGTCTTTGATCATGCCCTACCGGTTGTATTTCTTAGGAGATGGAAAAGCTAAAAGACTAGACTCACAGCGGCATTTCAACCACCAAAGCACGAGGCGGGCGATCGATCTTTGGACGGTTTCTTACGTGCTTTCAGAAGATGGGGGATAAATGGCGCTTTTTATACTAGTCCTGACCGAAAAAGAGGATTTACTGCCTCCACTCCATTCAAATCCGAAAAGCACCAAAAGCTTCTGTAGCAAAACGGTAAGCACTGAAGATAGTAAAGAAGTTGAAGTAAATCTTCTTAATCTAAATGCATACAGCAATTTTGAAGGTTTCTGGAACTGCTTAAATCTTTGACCCAGCGGGGTTTGCTTGATAAGCAGTTGGTCAGATCCCAGGAAAGTGAAACTTATTGGTGCATACTTAAGAGAGCTTTCAGTTCTCTGCAGTCTTGAGGCAGATCGAGAAATGAACACAATCTGTATTATACGTTGGAAGCTGAGTCAAAAAAATACAAAAATACCGTTATTTCACATCAGTTATGCTTTCTCAGCACGACTATCAATAATGGTCACATTGATTTTGGTCCAATTTTGCCATAGCTCGCACAACGTTTCGTTTTCATTCTAAATATTGTTTGGCACCATTTGAATCCTTTAAGACACCAGAACTATACAGTTTGAACAGGTAAACCACAACAGTCCACACCAAGTTATAGAATGAAAATGGAATTCATTGTCAAGTTTATGAAGGTCACTTTCGAACAATGAAGCGAGAATAGACGACAGAGTAAACTTCGCCTAATCCTCTATGCTAGCACTACGAACTATATGCCAAGTACGTTTCGGCGTATAGAAGAACAATAGTTCGTGGCTCATATGATGAGATAGAAACGCTTAAATTTAGGTGCAAGAGGGTTGAGATGGTATCATCGCAGGAGATGAGGTTTCCAAACTGTTGTTCTTAAAAACATCCACTCCCCGTCGAGACTATTATGCTACCTTGTTGAAAAGAAAGCATTCAGTTTCATCTGTTGCGGATCTTTTGATAATAAATCCGAGTTTGATAATTGCTCAAGGGTATTGTCTATTAAAAGAGTGAACAAAAGCTTTGGAAAAGGGTAGCCTTTCAATTTAAAAGCATAACCTTGAATCCTATAGATTTGCTTAATATAGGCTTTTGTACAGCGATGGCAGAAGTGGCTATCCCTACGAATGACATGAGGTCAGAAAGATACATATAACTTTAATTTAGTGTCGCTATCGTAAAAATTGTGTAACCGCTTACCTCTTTGGACACCGGCATCTTTATGCGACAGGGGACGCGCAAGTGAATGGCTGTGCAAAATTAGTCGCGTAGGCTGCGATAGCTCCCTCTATTGCGGAATAAGAACATAGACCACAAGTTGCAAGCGAAGCAAGGCAGAGCAAAAGTAGCGACAACTTTATCAAAGTTCGTGTAACGCCACCATGACCGAAAGCTCGCTTCCAGCGAGACCAGTTGCGGTAGTACGAGTCTGCTTTTTCGACAGTCATAGTTATAGGATCAAAGCGGTCTGCCAAAGATGCATCTCGGCGGCACAACAAACACAAGGCGAACAGAAATGGAAATGTGTACGAAAAATTGAAGATGCAAAAAGACCCAATGATCGATACCAACGAGCTGATAGATGGAATGGCGGTGCCAATAATGTAGGCGATTGACCAGTAAATGAACACAAAAATGCCCCAAGCAAACGTACCTTTACGTGAGTCAAGAGAAGGAAAGTCGAAATTTGACACCAGAAAACCCTGGTAGAAGACTTTAATGCCGACGTTACCATAAAGTACTGCAGCGATAAGTTGCGTAATAATATTCAAAACATTAGCAGCGTTTTGCAAGCCAATGGATCCAATACCCTGATTTGCCGTAACGTAACTGAATTGTCCGTCGTACCCATAAACAAAAAGTCCGTAGAAAAGGTAAACTACTAGAATGAGAATTTGCGCACAAATCATTCCTTTCCAAAAATCCATTGGCCGTCTCATTTCTGCCATCACCTCGCAAAAGATGGTAGCACCGCCCCAGGCAAAAACCATATTGTTCATACCTGAAATACGATCACTAATGGTACCCGGTGTGATTGCGTATTGCTTAATTGGTAAAGGATCAAAGGTTCCGGGCTGGAAATAAGGAAGACCTTTTCCATATTGCTCGAAAATACCGTAATAAGGACCACCAACCGCAACGCCTACCATTGTGATAATACAGATGGCGATGTTCATCCAAACCGCAGAGTTCGCAATGTACGCAAATCTCCCGAGAGACTTTATCTGACCAACAATCATACACAACAGACTCCACACTAGAATATCAACCGTGAAGCAGAAGTTATCTTGGCCTCTATTGACAATCAGCATTTGTGACACTGCTTGAGCGGTTCCGAGAAGAAGAACTCCACAGTTCAATATCATCTGGATAAACTGCAAAATGGCGAACGGGTATTTGAACCAAGGTGCCACTAGACGACCAGCCAGATCAGAGAAGGTGCGAATTGGATAATTGTTTGAGTCAACTTTGCAATAGCAGCGGTTGAGCAGCCACCCGCCAAACGCAGCGAAGATACCAAAGAGAACGTAGAGAATCACTCCGGGAGCCCATCCCATCTGTGCAACAGCATATGGGGCATTGCTTGGCCCCAGAATATCCGTTGTGATCAAAAAGAAAACCGAGTATACCTTTGCTATACGCAAAGATCGATGGGTGTCCAGCTTTGCCGTAGTCACGTTACTGTGAGGATCTGTGCTCATTTGTTTTTCTTGACTGGCGTAGAGGCCATTCTCGTCGCCAGCTTTCTCAAACTCTCGCTGAATGTCAGCATAGTGCATATAGGCCTGAAGTGGCAAGTGCTTTCTTTGATTCGGACCTTCGTTGGAAACAACCTCTAAGCCAGTCACGTAACCTTCTTTTGGTTCTTCCGAGGAGTAACGAGGGTCTTTTTCTCCCGCCAACTCATCAGCTTGATGGAGACGAGGGCTTGCTATCGGGACAAGCTTTGACATCCTTAGCAACGGGACGTTGTTTTTACCGTATTTTTCGAAAGACGCAATTCAGGTTATTGGCTTTCCAGTGTGCCTCGAATATTTGAAACAAACCTGAGCTATGAAAGGAAGTGAAACCTGGCTGCTTGTAGCTCAAAATTTCATAATGGTATGGCATTGGCTTTTGATGCTCTTATTATATGCGTCCTTGGAAGGTGTATCTCTCCCGGAAGGAAAGCTTATCCTGTCAAGCAGCCATGGCTGTTTTACCGGCTCAAGGCATCACTAAGGATGCCATCCACTTGATCGGCTGCCTTCGGAACGTCATCAATGGTGCCATCCACAGCTTCGGCATTGGATGCTCTTGACAAACCACCCACCTATTGGCTTTGAGTTGCCGTAGTCGTCATCTTATGCCCTGGGTAACAAACGCCGTAGCGCTCTCTCAAGCAGCAAATGCCAAGACATTTCATGCATACTTATCTCGTCCGATTATGCTATCTAGGTGTGACAATAGTTCTGCCAAGAAATTTTTCTGTAGACCGCAAAAGAAAAATGAAGAGACGATATCACGTATCGGCTGTCGATTTAAACAGATTGTTTGTGAGACAATGGTGGCTCTCTTTTGAATGAGATTCTGATCAACTGAAGCTTTACGGGAGTCGAGCAGATAGCTGATTGTGACAGCGTGAGCTCATGCTGTATAGGGTAGGTTAGGCTAGGACTGGACAAGGTGCAAGTACGAGTGACCGCATCCTTATGAGCGTCCGTATATAGTGATTATCGTGACGGCGCGATTAGCCGCGGCAGGTAGATGCAGAAAAATGGAATGACCCTCTTTGTCAATGGTACCTGTAAATATTTGATTACGCACCGCACGCATTCGACTATTTCATGGTGCTGGCATCTTCAGCCTCATCATTATCCGTTTAAAAGCCCAATACTGCTCACGTGATCTAAATCTCTACGCAGATAAGTCTAGGCAGATGGATCTTATTATACTTTTTTGGACCACTTAACAAATGTCATCGGAATTCCCGAAAACATTAAATAATCTGACGCTTCGACGCTGCCCAGACCGTCTGTATGAATGGCAACAAGCCTTGGTGCTTTATGAGGATGTCGCTACAAAAAAAAAGAGACATGATGACAAAGATGACAGAACTCGACCTCTCTAAAACCTGACGCGCAAGTGGTTAAAGCCAAGTGCACATACCGCGTGGAACTACACCATCGAAGAGCTTGGATGACGATGTTTTGTTCAAAAAAACGAAAAATCACCTCATGAAAAATGAAAAGCTGAAGAAGCAGCTAGACCATCTCACATAGTGTTCAGCCGATACCGGATGGCCTTAACTAGATGAAGTTATAATCTAGAATCTTCAAAAGAAGATCATCAAGAATCTCTAGCGGATATTCATGAACAAGTGACATCATTCCTGATTGCCCCATGCACTCTATCCCAAAGGTGAATATGGTATTTTGAATGTAATGCAGATATTGTTGTCCCTTTCGTGTCTTATGTCTTGTTTAAGTTGGTACTGTGCTCCGATCCCAACATTTACTTGTTATGCAGCACACGTTAGCTTATGACTTCATCAACCGGCCCACAACAATCAACTCACATTCAAAGTCTCAATTTTTGGCTTGGGGACCACCGTCCTCCTCGTGAGACGCGCCTTAGGATCTTTGCTCGCACCGATAAGACTGAGCTGCATTCCAGAGCCTTGTTACTGGCGAGACTAAGCTAGTTCCCCAGATCAAGTTCAAAAATATAGTAAGCGGGGTTGCCTCATTTACCGAGTTCATTTTTCTCGCGTGACGCATCCAATACTTCATAAGCATGCTTGAAGAGAAATTGCTCGTCAAGTGCAGCAATCTCGTTCTCAATTGGTGCATCCTTAGCCTGTGTACGGGCCTCTTCATCGCTTGCCACAATTGCCCTAGGATACTCGCTGGTATTCTCATCTACTCTAGCAATTTCATTTCCTTCATCATCCGTGAAAACTATACTGCCGGGTTTGACAACTGGTGTATCCGAATGATCTAGCTCAAGTACGTCGTGCGCACTCTTGCTCGTGTTGGTAAAGTGAAGTCGTCTGTCTGTCTAAAGAGACAATTTCTCCTGTGAACACGTTTTAAGACACCCGCACTGACATCAGAAATGCTCATTGAGGCTGTAAAAAGCTCGCATCCTGATACCGTCAGTATAAATCGAAATGAGACTGTGAAAGGGTTTCTTTCATCTCATGTTAATTTATAGTGCAATTCTTCGTCCCACTGTTGGCATAGCAAATTTTCATTGTTTGTCTCCACACATTGTAGCCATTGGAAAGAGTGCGGTTCTTCCATGGCCAGTTAACGTCAAGGGTGTCTTGATCCAGGCCCGTGCTGTGGTGAAGAATTCATCGCTATTCAGCACGGCAAAAATTGGATTTTGGAGTCGCCTGCATCATTGAATGACGGTGCAAAAACCAATTTCGTGAACTTAAAGCCTATATTTTGTTAACGGTAAAATTCCTCTCAAGCATGTTACCTAGGTCAGGGGATTTTGTTTGAACATTTGTGCTACCCTCCATGTGAATGAGCATAATATATGCGAATGCCAATGACATACCATAATGTCTGATATCTTGAAAGACAAGGAGCTTCGAAATCGGTAAGATTAGAAATTCTCAAAAGGCCCTCTAGGAGCGCGCTTTAAAAGTTCTTCGGGAGGTCCTGATTTTCAACTGGAAAATGCATTCTTATATTCTTCCTTTAATTCGACGACGTCATTGTGACCTTCTTCGATCTGCATTTCAACAAATTATTGCTGACCGAGTTTTCGTGTTCATGCTCAAGCTTTAAGGGATAAATTGATCAGCAAGAAGGTTTATCCTGGACGCACCACTTTTTATTTGTTGGTCAAAGTGTTTTTTCACTTGGCCACCAGTGTTACAGAATGTCCTGCAAGAGGGGTCCTGTTTTCGTATAGCCCAGTTCTGCATCCCCATCTAATTTTCCACCTTCTGTTCCTATGCCCGATTCTTTGTAGCTGGTTAACGCTCTCGCGATGGCAGACAGAATGAAGGCTCATATGTAGGTTTGCTGGCCGCTTTGACGCCTCAAGCATGTAAAAATGATTGAAAAGTACATTTGCATGGTGTTCAAGGTTGTCTTTTATTCGAAATAACATTATCCATAATCAAAACGAATCCTACTGTGGAAGCTACCGGTCATATTCTACATTTTTAGAGAGCTACCCGTAAATCCACTCGTCAGGATTCCGGCGTATTCTTGTGCCAAACTATTCTTGTGTCCAGTACTGGGCTGGACTATAAGTAGTTTTCTTTTAATTTGCCAAAGAGGCGGAGAGCACTGACAGAGGCCCAGCAGAGAGAGCGCCCAGTGCTATTGACGAGATGGTTCCGACTCTCATCTGAATGAAAATCGGTTTATTATGGGAACACCATACCGGTGTTAAAAGTACATTTATTGGCCTAAGCCGGGCAAAGGCGTGGTATTTTCGTCGATGACAAGTAACGGGCGGGTACGAGCTTTTATTAACCGCAAAGCTAAGGACCTTCTCTAGCATTCTCAGTCGCAAAAGAGGAGTTTAGTTTGCAACATTGCTCAATGATTTTGTCGATTGCAAAAGTATAAACGATCTGATCAAGTAAGATAGTCAGATTATCCTTGCTAAATTTTTTACGAGATGCAATGAAGCGAGAAACGACTTTGTGCATCGATGTCCCCTTCCAGGAAAAAAAATTGAAGACCAGCGCTCACCCATGCCGCTGCATTGGTCAACAGTCGTAATATCCATTAGAGGTGCCTTCAATCAAAGACCATCTTGATGTGTGATTTGGTCTAATATAACCGAGCTTCTGTGATACGATTGTCTTGGCCATCGAGCGTCGTTTCGAGCCGCTACTTGCAGACCAGTTAGATCTAGATTTTCCCGTTGAAATAATGGAAGCGACTGGTCTACACAACGAAAAGGCAGAGTCGTGCCGTCAGCTTCATTCAGGCTTTTGTCGAGGGTGAGGTTTGACAAGAGGCCTCACTCTTGAATCAAGGTATTCACAATTCACGTACGTACAAACCTTTCAGTGGCGGTCACTGCGAACTTTTTTTGGATGCTTCATATTTCAATTCCGGCAAAATAGTGGATAATTATATATTTGGAAGCGAGCTCCCATATATATAAGGCAGTCTGCTTGGTGCCATGACAGACGCTAATAAACTAAAAAAATTAGTTGGATACTCAACATAATTGTTGCGGTTATACATTCAACAGCTGTGATGGAAAGCAAATGAAGGATCTTGGTGAATCATTTTTCTTGGAGCTTGGCTCGATGCAAAACGTATTTATATATTTCCACGCTGCATATGCAAAACATTCCATCTCCAACTAATCACAGGACAATCATATGAAGCAGAGATCAAAACACGTCTCGGCAAAAGTAATTCGTCCGACTTTTCAGGCAACAGGCTGTGCTCAGTACTGTGCATGATGTTATCGAAATGCTTTTGTAAGCAGTGGTTTGATAAACACTGCAAATTGTTAAGGAACAGTTCGATAGTCATTTTAATTGACATCCTCCAAAAATTTACTAAGATTTGGGTTTCCTCTACATGGTAAGTGTTACTTCGGCTTTTCACCAGGAAAAAACATGATCAGTTTCCCCCTACAAACAACAATCAGAGGCCTTTTACCTTCAAAGTACGAAATCATCGATCGAGGGAGCAGCTCAATCAGTGTAGCTCATAACCAACACATTTACCAACACTGCTCGGCGTGCTTCTTGATTGCATGATCATTAAAACAGGTAGCCTTACTTTAATCACTATGTACCAGGTCGTCATTTTGTCGTTAGTCACATGAGCTTGTATCACGTGACTATATAGCTATAAGATCGGTGAGTTCCACAACAGTCCACGCTTTTGTTTTCCCGACGTGTTGTAGAAATGACACCAGATCTAATTCGGGCTGGTTCTACTAGCTGACTTTCTGGCATTTGTCGAAAAAGTCGATATGCTACTTGCCGAAATGTACGTCAAATACGTGCCTATTTCATGTGCATGTACATGAAGCATGAAGAACAATACGCGAAATGCGTCAGTTGACGGAAGACGGAAGAAACTGCGGCGAATACCACGGTGATGCACCGGAGTGGAAAACTCTCACATCTCTTGCATGTTGTCAGCTGCATGGGCATTTATCTCACTTATCTCTCGTAAATAAGCCTAGAAACTCGTGCATCGTCGTGAGTAGTCATGTGTGTAAAACGACAAATTAAATTCTATTGCATAGTTATCAAACTTGTTGTACCAATGAACCTCCGTTGGGTAAGAAGTTGGGACGAGCAAAAACCACCACTAGCCTGAGCAAATAGAGACTGCCAGAAGATAAATCACATCTGCTTGAATTTTTGAACGCTTAGGTGTCTAAACAAATGTATCTACATGATACAACTTCTTGGGTTTACGAGCTAGACGATTCTAGTATCTTGAATAAACTAAGCATAGCAATGTTAGAAGGAAATCTCCACTCTGTTGCCTTAAGAATATTATTACATGGAAAATATCACAAAAGATAGGTTCTCGAAACACAACTACGTTGATTCACGAGCCGAACGGTTTGCGTAAAAAAACCATGTAGGCTAACGACTAAGAGAATTTTCTTTGCAGATAAACCAACTAGAGCTGCATTTAAAGAAAAAATAAAACAGCTGCTCGGAGTTAAGAAGGCTCGGTTGCCTTAACAGTATTTACCTGCAAGAATACCTAGAACGTATCAACACACAACCTTGTAGATTAACTCGCACAAGGTTTATCGTATCTCGGTTAACCAAGTACAGTAAGGAGGACTTTCCTTTAGCCACCGCGTAACTGTAAATATTTCCTGTTCTCTTTGCTCGGAGGCACGCGTAGGAAAAAAAACCTGTAAGCCTAATCGACGTTTCGTAAAATCAAAGTACAGCACGTAGGAGATAATTCCGCTTTTTCGGTCGAGGTTCAGAAAGTCACAAAACATCTAGGTGAGAACTTCTTTTGCCTCTCAAATGCTTCACGTAACCTGTACAACCGCTAAGAATTAACTTATTGGCGTCGAAGTTTCGTGCCAAATTCCAATAGCAGGCCATGGTAGAGCAGAGTTGCATCTAGGGCCACATACGTCGAAACTACTGACAAAAATTTCCGGACAGCTTGAGAAAGAAATACGAGGGACTTTTGAAATAAGATGAAGACTTCGTAATACAACAACTTCTTAGCACCATAGAGTAAAAAGAGCGATATCATCAGACAGGTTCGAAGCAGTAAAGAACTTCAAGCACGGCGCACATCTTCCGGAAAAAACAGGGACGCCAAAGAGGAACTCGTATTGCTCTGAGTAAATAGGATTTCGAAGCATAGTAACACGTTCTCCTCTAAGACACGGGCTGCGAGGAAAAGTAATTTCGGGGTTCAGGGCACGTCGGCAACTTTCTCTACTTGCATGACAGTGATTTTTATAAAAACACCCTTGCAACCCTCTACAGGGCAGGTTGGTGAAGAGCTCAGGAGAGCTCCGGAAGCTCAGAAAAATAGACTTGTATAGAGCATGATGCATGCTAAAAAACCAGCATTTCGAAGACGATCATGCATTAAGCGGCGGCCTCACATTTCACATTTCTTGTGCGTGCGAGGATGAATTGGATGAAGCGCATACCATAGAATCTGACGCGAGTGAAGACTTGGTATTCATCAGTCCGCATCTAAACAAATGGCATGCGGGCGAGGAATACATGTCACTTGTTTGCATAATACATGGCATCACGAGTAGTGAACGCGGCTAGTCACAGAAGAAAGGCAAGTCTTTGTCAAAGTGCCTGCGATCTGCAATTGACGCGGTGCCCAGAAAAGATATCAAGAGCTTGCGTAACCACGTCGTAAACCCATGGCCGAAATAGAGTAGTCTCCGCAGCAAGTCTCTGGCGGTAATCAATGTTCACGGCGTCTTCAAGGTCGAACAAGTCAGAGTGATGCGGGAAACCCGTCCTTGCATCTCGCGCTCTTAGTGGTTGCGACGGTGATGCGACGATTAATCTCGAAAAGAATTACCTAAAGGTAAGCATTGTTGAAAATGTATAAAAGACCGGAACTCCACCAGAAGCCGGTCTTGTAAACACTTCCATGTCTCTAAAAAACCCAAAGCAAATCTCATGCACTGGTCAAGGTTACTTGTTTTCCTGGCAGTGCTGCTGGTGGGAAATGCCACCACGGTCAAAGAGGGTGGTATCGGTGCTTGTAAACCATCTCTAGAACCTAGGCCAGGGTTTGACATCGAAATTTTCAGTCTCCCAATCACAGGATCCACTACGGGCCAATGTTACGATCACAGCTATGATTCTGACAGTTATTTGCATGGCGGATACCGTACTCATTCGTATGGAAAGCAGGCTTCTAGCTCAAATGTCACCAATCTTTACTACTCTTATAAAAAGGGATCAAAAGGTTCGTGCGCTGTCACGAGCGGAAACCTACCTTCCTACTACAACCTGGATGAATCAATAACCCTCACTAATTTCTCCATGTTAGCTACCGGGTACTTCACCGCAAAGCAGACAGGGCGCTACTCATTCAACTTCAGATACATCGATGACGTTGCCTGGGTTAATCTAGGCGCTGGCAATGCCTTTAACTGTTGTGATAAAGCAAATTCGGTGGATGACCCAGGTTCTTTCCTGCTTACAACTAAATGGCCTGACACAAGTAGTTCGGTTACTGCTGATTTGATCGCTGGCTACTCGTATCCTATGAGATTTTTCTACGCTCAAAGAAATGGGGACGGTGGACTTAATTTTACGTTTACCGATCCATCTGGAGTTGAAACCTCTGACTGGACTTCATGGGTCTATAATTACGATGACGGCGATCGGTGTGACATCGAGCCCGACCACGCTACAACGATATGGACCGGAAGTTCGACGTCGACTGCAACTGTTCTGTCCACGTATACGAATTCTGATGGTAAATCTACAACCAACAATGTCGAGGTAGTTTACACTCCCACGACATACATTTCTAACTCGACTGAGGAAGCTCCATATTCTGGGCCTTCTACAACCACTTATTCCACGACTGAGCTCACCACTACAGGTACGGACGGCTATCGAACAGTTGAGACTGTGTACTACGTTCATACTCCACTAGGCCTAACCACGGCTTACACACCATGGACTGGAAATTACACTAGCACTTACTCAACGGGCCTTACTTCATACACAGGATCGAACGGACAAGTGAGCTCTGAGACAGTCTATTACGTGGAGACACCAACGCGTCTTTCCACGACTTATACGAGTTGGACTGGAGATTACACGTCGACATACTCAACTACTGTTTCGACCTACACAGGTACAGACGGTATTCCAACAACCGAGACTCTATACTACGTCGAGACCCCTGAGAACAAGGTCGCGTCGACGACCTACACAGCATGGACTGGCAACTTCACCTCCACTTTCTCCACCGATGTGAGCACATCTACTGGTTCCGATGGTATGCCAACCACCGAGACTCTGTACTACGTCGAGACCCCTGAGAACAAGGTCGTGTCGACGAGCTACACAGCATGGACTGGTAACTTCACCTCCACTTTCTCCACGGATGTGAGCACATCTACTGGTTCCGACGGTATGCCAACCACCGAGACTCTGTACTACGTCGAGACCCCTGAGAACAAGGTCGCGTCGACGACCTACACAGCATGGACTGGCAACTTCACCTCCACTTTCTCTACTGGTGTGAGCACATCTACTGGTTCCGACGGTATGCCAACCACCGAGACTCTGTATTACGTCGAGACCCCTGAGAACAAGGTCGCGTCGACGACCTACACA